GTGCTCCCGGTGTGGAAGTTGTTGGCCTTACAGGTGCTGCCGGAACGGGTGTTGAACGCTATTGGCCTGAAGTCTATTTTTAATGAGAAAACTATCGATAATATATGCCATAATTTGAAGGGTGTGTTGAAAGCGAGGGAACATTTGGTGGACAATAGTACTGATTTTTTGGGAGTTTTTATGCGATCAAAACTCGGTCCAAACGAACCCCAGCCTAATGATGATATTGACGGTTAGTTTTTTTAAAAAATGATTAAGGTGATAATTAAAGTTTTTCTATTTTAAATTTCAATATCATTTTGTTTGTGCTGTTATGCTTTTTATTTTACAGTATTAATACAGTATGTAAGTGTAGTATAAATCTTAGTTTAAGTGCCCAAGGCACATTAGTATTTTGTTACCAGTAATAGTATTTTGTTTAATTATTTAATATAAGATAATCCTTAACATGAGTAATCTTTTAAATATTTTATATTATTTCATTTTATTGAAAATAATTAACAAATAAATAATAATTAGGAGAATATAGTCTCGAAATGAAAGAGAAAACGTTTGACAACAATATGTCGGACAACAAGAAGTTGACTGAAGAGGAGATTCTCGCGCAGGGATTCTTCATATACTTCACGGCTTTCGACCAAATCTCAAATGTCCTGTCATTCTGTGTCTATGAATTGGCACTCAATCCGGACGTTCAGCACCGGCTCTACGAAGAGATTGTGGCCGCTGTGGACGCGGACGGGGAGATCGGTTACGACGAGTTGTGTCGACTGCCACTACTGGACGCTGTGATCAGCGAAACCCAACGCCTTCACGGCGGACCCGTTAAGTACCGGCGAATACCGGGCCGTGAGTTCCCTTTGGGCGACACCGGGATTGTGGTGCCGAAGGGACAGCCGATTGAGATACTAGTCTACGCCATCCATCACTCGGAAGAGTACTTCCCGAACGCCCATCAGTTCATTCCCGACCGCTTTTTGCCCAAAAATCGTCACAATATAAAGCCGTATACATTCATGCCGTTCAGCGCCGGACCCCGTGTTTGTGTGGGAATGGCGTTCGCCTTAATGGAGCTGAAGCTGGCATTAGTTCACGTTTTGCGCCGCTTCCGGTTCGCCGTCCATAAGGACACAAAAGTGCCGCCAATTATCAAAACACATCCCGTTATGAAAGCCCCAAAAACTATGTATCTGTCGGTTGAGGCAAGAGATTAAATTCAAATGTTATTCTGTTAAACAATATTCTGTTCTGTATTTCGATATATTATTTATATTTATAAAACATAATGTTTTAATATTTTTAATATCGTTTGGTTCCAATAATGCATAGTAGATTAAATGTTAGTTAAAAATTGATTTAGTTGATTGATTATATTTAATCTAATTGTTATTCAAAAATTTATTGGGTAATCAAATGATGAAATCATTTTGTCCGTATCTATTCTGGTTCGGGAGTAATCCTCACCCGAAGAGTCCAACCTTCGGAGGCACGTTGGCAATGTTATTCAATAGAAGAGACAATATGTGGCATTTAATTATTGTCACAGATTTTAAATTACACCATAATTTACCAGTGTTTGTGTAATAATTAGTTTCTATGTAACATCTAAGTAACTTGATACAATTTATGATTATATTGTCACATTTTCATTTTTCCGTCGGGTAAAATTGCCAAGGGTTACGATAGGTTGGACTCTTCGGGTGAGAATTACTCCCGACCCAGAATAGATACGTCATGATTTCATCATTTGATTACTCAATAAATGCAGTTTTGAATAACAATTAGATTAAACATAATCAATCAACTAAATCAATTTTTAACTAACATTTAATCTACTATGCATTATTGGAACCAAACGATAATATACAAGAGTCTGTATAAGAGTCTTAAGTAATAGATAAAACTACTTTACTTATGGTCTAAATTTAACAATAAATTAATGCAAAATTTTGAAAAATTCATGAAGGTTTTAAAATTATTTTTAATAAATTTTTATTTTTAAAAATTATACATGTATTTAATTTACACCATTATAATAATTATTAATTATTGACAGTGTGAAAGGGTTCACCCTTTAGTGATTATATTAAAATTGTTTGTCGAATATATTAAAATTCATTTGTTGTATAATTATTGTTATAAACAAAATTTTGTAAAAACACCAAATTAAATAGTAATTTGTTGTTTTGAGGCGAAGGAAGTGAAAGGGTTCACCCTTTAGTGATTATAAATTTTAATATGTTGTAGTAGTTATGAATTTAAAATTGTTGTTGCATTAATTAACAACATAAATACTAAAATATTTACTAAATTGTAATTAAAAATATTTTCAATTTTGTGTAAAACCGTATGTTTTTGTAATTTTTTGTAAAACAACTGTAATTTATATTCATTCTGTATTCATACCTCAAAGTGTTAACAATAAAATCCAATTTTATAATAAACTTTCTATTTTTCTATCTCGTAGGGACCCCTCCGGGGGCGTACCCTTACAAGTGTACCTTCTACCCAATAAGATCCTAGGTTTCAACTTTGTCAATTAGAGATCTAAAATATTATAACTTATTATATTAAATTGTTAAAGTTATACACTGTTATAAAAGTAGAATGTATATAATTTTACGACTTCTTTTACAATTTACGTTAAATGTACTACATAACTGTACTGTATGCACTTGTATGTTATCTGTACTTTAGGATAAGAGCTAATTTAGTACTATTAATATTATAATTGTTTTTAAACACATGAAGCACAGAACAGTACAAAAATGGAGGATTAATTAGGATACAGCAACTATTCCAATACAGTATTAGTTTAGTAAATTAAATTATATAAAATTATATTTGTACTTATCATAATACATTATTAAAATCAATACAGTGAACTGAACATGTAAAGGTTACATTGTAAACAAAATTGAATAATATCTAATACTGGGTACATATTATGGTGGGTACAAAACTAATCATATTATGTACCTAATATTGTTAGTTTTAGTTATTCTATTGTAGTATTGTAATATAATTTAATATCTATAATACAGTTAAATCAGATATTGTAAAAATATTTGATGTAAGAGTGCCCTCAGATTATCAGTGTTTGTAGAGATTGAGTATTTGGTATAAATGTCAAAACATTTCATAGAAATTCAATCACATTTTTCATAAACTGTAAAAAATACACTATACTGTAGTAAAAGTAATTAATTAAAAATAATGGTCCGAAAGTTAACCATAATGTTGGCACCGGTGGAGGGCGTGGGACACGTGAACGCGTGCATAGGGTTGGCTGAAGTGCTGTTGAGTCGGGGCCACACAATCGTGTTTGTAGTGAACGAGTCCTATGCGGGAAAGTTAGCGCCGTTTGGTTTCGTTGAAGAGATTGTCACTTCAAATGAGGCGAACGATGAAAGGCCCGGCGAAACCATCGCTAAACAACGGCTCGAGTCGGGACTGTTGTCCGCCGAGACATCGTATAAATCGATGCAAATTAATATGAGTTTACCCTTCTTTGAGGGCAAGACCGACAAAATGCGAGCCAATGAACCGCAGCTCAAGGCT